GGGTGTGGGACCGGAGGCTGCTGCTCCTCAAACAGATACATTCCACCTCACATTTTTTTATTCTTTTTGAAGTTTTAGTTTAAGGTAAGTCAGCAGTTGGAATGCATTTGATGCTATAAGATTTGATTTGCCTCTTTTTACGTTTTTCTGAATTGTATTTCAGGTTGCCTTCACATCAGGACTTGAAGACACTCTTGTGCTACAGCTGTAGACTCACTATCAAAGACATGGTGAGTTTGACAAAAGCTCAGCACTCATGGGACTTTCATGTTGTCCAATCATTGTGCGTACTGTACTCTTCCAATTAATTTTGGTATGTGCTGGATGACATGGCATCACAGCAGTGTCCAGTAGTTTCACATGTTATGTCATATAAAATATTTTTCTATATATAATATATATATATATATATATATATATATTATATATATATACACACACACACAGTGATGGACAAAAATATATATACATCAGGTTTAATATATATATATATATAAAATTTGAAAAACCTTATTTTGTGAAAAAAATTTTTTTGATATTTTTGTAACTCAGCTTCATCAAATTAGATAATATTATGCCTTATTTTTTGCAATTCATCTGAATTTTTTTATTAACATGCAGGGCTGTGTAATATATGCAGATATTATAAAATATGCAGATATTATTCCTCAGTACATTTATTTATTGTTGCATGGCCAGTGGAAACTCGGCTCACCTTTAGCAGCTTCAACGATGACTTTCAGCCCGTTGTGCTCTAGCGCGATCATCTTGGCGTGTTCGTGGGCGTGTCCAAAGGGCACACGCACGTCATCGTCAAAGGTCATGACCCTCAGCGCGACACAGGCCTCCCTCACAACCTCGGGGTGCTCGATGTGGCGTGTGATGCTGGCGGTGAGCAGCGGCAGCACGCCTGACTTCACCAGACCCTGCCGGTTGTTCTCGTGCTTCAGACAGCAGTGTCGCACGACGCGGAAACACACACAGCTGAGAGCGGCGTCTGTCTGGTGCGCGGTTAAAGCACCGATCAAAAACTCTCGCCCTTCCACGTCCAGGAGATCCGGCTGGCCGTCTGTTAGCGCCGAGAGCGCGGCGAGAGCGACGGAAAGGGCCTCCTTCTCTCCAGCGGCTCTCTGGCAGCAGGCGAGGATCGTGGGATACGCCTCTTTTTGAGCGGCCAGGTATCGCTGTGCGAAGCCGAGAGAGCACTGCTGGGTGAAGACCCTCAGATCCTCCAGAACAGATGCGGACGATGAAGCCACTGCAGCTTTGAGAGACTCTAAAGCCTGGAAATATACCACCGATAACATGTTAAACACAAAACCTACCAGTCTCACAGTTCTGCAGCAAAACATCGTGTGTGAAGACATACCTGAAGAACCTTGTGGGTTTGATCCTCGGTGTTTTCTTCAGAACAGACTTTGGGCACTGCTTTAACAATATAGCTGAGATCCACACCTGTGAGGACAAATCAAACCACTTCATTATCACATCACCACATACATCTATATCTACAAACCAATACTGTATAACATATTCTAATGTGTACATTTATTATGAATGCAAAGGTCAAAAGTTTGGAAGAGATTTTTTGAAATAAGTCTCTTTTGCTCTCACTAAGTCTGCATTTATTCAATCAAAAATATAGTAAAACAGTGACATTGTAAAAAAAAAAAGTTATAATTATAATAAAAATACGATTAAAACACATGTGCATGGGTTTAACTATATCTTTCTTTATTTGTTTCTTCATTTATTCTGTTATTTATGTAAATATTATACAATTAATGACCCATTTAAGCATTTATATTTAGCATTGATATCACTTTTTTTATTTATTTATTCTGTTATTTAATTAAAAATTATACAATCAATGTCCCTGAAATAAGACATTAGTTGTATAATATTTAAGCATTTACGTGTGCATGAATACGACTATTAATTTATTTATTTCTGTCAAAGGTTTAGAATAATTAATATTTTTGAATGTTTCTGACAGAATGTCTTATGCTCACTTAAAGCTGCATCTATTTGATAAAAAACAAACAGTAATTTTGTAAAAAAAATATATTAGATAAATCTTAAAATAAAAAATCTTATTATTATAATTAATAAACATACATATGTGTATATTCACTGAGGATGCACAAAATAATTAAAATAATTAAGCAGATACATGAAAGTAAGCCAAAGGATTTTTCATTATTATTTTTTAATAACTCACCCTGAGACTCAAACTGCTCTATGGCCTCCTTCAGAGCTTCGCTCTCCTCCATGTCAAACTCCTCGGTGTTTTCTCTGACCACTGCATCAAAGGTCTCCTGTGTGATCCTGCGTGTGGCCATGACTGCAGCAGCTGCTGGAAACACCACAGCAGAGCTTCAGCTTCAGTGCTTCAGCTGGGCTTTTAATGCCTGACAACCAATGCATTCAAAAGGAAGCGGTATGTTTGCCTGTATTTGGCTCAGTTCAGGACATGAAACTAGGGCTATATGAAACTATGGTGTTGCCGTAGTTTTTAGAAATGCACAATGGTACTACCATTATATTCAGTAAAGTACCTTGTGCAAATACCATAGCACATAGTAATCACTCAGTATCATGCTATATCTCACAGTACCGTGGTATTACCATCTGACTGTACCATGGTACCGACACAATTCACTGCAAACACAGAAACATTATTTATTACCGTAAGTCACTCGATGTAAGTTGTACTACCTACACAAAACACTCACTCGAACCCAAAGCAAAACAAAACCTCACCAAACCTTATTATAAAAGGCTCCGTGGAGAACAGCGGGCGGTACGCTAACAGCGTAAGCAGAGAACAGCGCCTGAGCGCAACAGCATTTAACTGACGCAAACGCTTCGCGAATTACGGCAGAGCGTGAGGTTGCGTCTTCTTTAATGTGGCTCGGGTGAGTTTTGTGAGAGAAATAGGTTCCGCTTCATATTATATACATACGGGTGCGGACAGGCAAAACGTTTTT